ACTGAAACTGAAACTGAAACTGAAACTGAAACTTGCTCAGTACCCTGAAACTGAAACTGAAACTTGCTCAGTTTTTTTTCTAGTTGCTCAAAAACTGAAACTGAAGAAAAAAAACTTGCTCAGAAACTGAAACTGAAGAAAAAAAGAAATACTAAAACTGAATCACAGACAAAACAAACAAATCAAACTGACCCTATTGGAAATCAAACTCACGCTTATCCAAAGTCAAGAAAAACACAAAGTCCATCATGCTTGATAATATAGTTCTGTATCTAACAGTTCGGGGTTCTCAATATCTCTGAATGCATCACTGTCAGAGGTGGCATCAGACTGCATAAACCCAAATGCACATGCCTGAATGCATCAGTCTGGCAGTATAAACCCAATTGTCATTTAGACTAACATTTGGCAGGGATGTATTTTCATTTATACTGCATAAACCTAATATTTTAACTTGTGAAATTTTCATGATGCTGCTCCTTCTATTCACTACCTCCGTTGCTTGCTTATGAATCATGGGAGATAGATATCCCCAGGCAAGTGAAAGAGAAACCTAAATGAATGGTAAGAAGACGAAGCAAGCAGACCTGCAATGTGAAGAGGCGGTCGTCGATCTGGACCTCCTTGGTGACAAAATCCGCACTGATGGTGGCCTGGTTGCTGAACTTGTTGTTGACGTAACTGCACGCACCAAACCGAGGAATCGGTCCCGATCAGTACTGAAAATTGGAAACTGAAATCTGAACTGAAAATTAAATTGAAATCTGAACCAAAAAACATGCAAACAAGAAATTAATATTCAAGACTTAAACTGAAAATAGGCTACACTGAAATTAAACTGAACTTGTTGGACTTCAACTGAACTTAAACTAAAAATGGGTTGTAAATAACTTAACCTGAAATTGAACTGAAACTAAAGTAAAACTGAAAATAAATTCTACTGGAATTGAACTGAACTTTCTAATCCTTTGACAATGGATGTCGTCACTAGGTACCCTGAAACCTAAACTAAGACTGAAAAAACTAAAATAAAACTAGAGTAAACTAATAACTCAACTGAAAGTCTCAGGAAAGTCTCAGGTAATAACCAGTGAGACATGGATCTGCAACTAAGCTACAGCTACCCATACGCTAATGGGCCGAGCATCCATGAAGCTGAAGCTAAAAAAGGAAACCAATAGAAGGAACTAACAACCATAAAAAAAACAAGCACAACAGGCAAGCATGCAATGAATTATAAATGTAGATTGCTGTATCAAGAAAGTTACATTGCACAGGGAATGAAAAAACACACTCACCTCAGTCAGCTACTACTATGAATTTTCTCTAACTCACTGAACCACTGTCATCCTAATGTACTTATGAACAAAACTTAAACAAAAAGTTTGCTTGTGGGAGCAAAACATGGCTAATTTCTGGCAATGAACTAGACAGAGAGAGGCAACATGCCACTTTGGACTAGGGACAAAATGAAAAGAACAAAGTAAAACTGCTGCTGAACAAAATATATATGATGCACCGGCGCTACAAAAAATAAGTAACATACGAAATAGTAGTATCAATTGCTAAATACTACTATATAAGCCATATCCACAAATTTAATCCAATGAAATGAAAGATAAAAGCAAATACTCATCATGGTTCTCAACATTTTGCAGCAGTATAGCAGCAATGAATTATTTGTCAATATAATGCATAGGTAGCTAATCACACACACAAAGCACACCACACAGGAGCACAGCACCAGCAACGAGAGACTGCATGAGGAGAGGATCTCAAGCAAGCAGAGGTGTATGCCAACCCAGAACCACTAGTTGATGATCCGCAAGCTCATGCTGCTACTAAAGCTGATAGGGATTAAGCAGAATCGACAGAACCTAGCACACATCGCCATCACATCGCCCCCTCCGCCCCCTCCACAGAAAATCCACAAATATCCCATCAAATACTAGAACAATCCATCAAACCAAACCCTAATTAACAAGGACTAACAGAACAAACCCTAGACGCATTCAAACCCTAGACACATTCGAACCTCACCAAAAATTTCTCCAGTAAAATACAGCACAAACCCTAGACGCATTCGAACCTCACCCACACAAATCTCCATCCATGTGCGTGCCCTCACCATATGGATCCATGAAATCTACGCTGCATTAAGAAATCGGATCGAGTACACACATGAGCAAAAGAGCAGCAAACAGGAAGGAGATGTAGGGGCAGACCTTGCGCGGATGGATCCGGACCCGTGCGGCGCCGACGAGCCAGACGACCACCGGCACGGCGTCCCTAGCTACCCCTCAGCACGACATGGGCAGCTGCCGTGGCTCCGCCACCGGTGCTTTGCGCGAGGAGGTGGAGGAGGAGGCCCCTGGCTCTTGACGACGACAAAAGCTGACCCGTGCACGCTGCTCCCCCTGTTGCTGGCGCCAACACCACCGCAACCGATGCTCCACGCATGGTGGAAGGCTGCCAGGGAGCCGGAGGAGACAGAGGAGCGGCAGATCTAGGACTGGGTCACTGGGAGAGTGGGAGGGAAAGCTCGCCGGTCGGCCGCCCAAGGAGAGCGGCGCGTCGCCTGGAGTCGCCTCGACGAAGCCGAAGAGTCTAAATGGAAATGGGGTGGGGGTGGGGGGAGGTGGGGGGACGGACACCACTGAATCGGGCGCGACTCCCAAAAAAATCAAAACTGTAGCGCCAGGGTCCACAAGTCAGAGAAACAAAACAGATCATCCAGGGCGCGACATCCAGGGGGCGACGTCGACCGACCAGCAGCGCGCGATACAGATGGGACGGACAGAAAATCCATATGCCAACCAAGCAAGAAACACCAATGTGTTGTATAGCATTCCTGTAATTTATTTTGTCTTAGAAACCCAACGCCCTTGGCCAGATGGTTTATTTAGGCATTGTTTAGTTCCTCTCCTAAAGTTTAGTCTCTATCACATCGGTTGTTTGCACATATGCATGGAATATTAAATATAGACTAAAAAATAACTAATTGCACAGATTGCGACTACTTTGTGAGATGAATTTTTTAAGCCTAATTAGTCTATGATTTGACAATGTAGTGCTACAGTAAACATATGCTAATAACAGATTAATTAGGCTTAATAAATTTGTCTCACGGATTACTGAGGACTTATGTAATTTGTTTTATTATTACTATCCGAACACTCACATATGACACCCCGATGTGACACCCCTAAACTTTAGCCCCTGGATTTAAACATCACCTTACTTTTTTATTTAATTTATTTTGTCATAGAAACCCAACGCCCTTGGCTAGATGGCTCATTTCTCTATTTTTTGCTTTTATATATATTGCAGAGTTGCTGTTTTCTTAGATTGCTATACTATTTTAGCTACTTCTTACATAAGTAGTTCCATTCTTTTTTTTTGAACTTTAAGTACTTCCATTCCAGTTAACCTAGTATGGATCTCAGGAGGTTGCCTTTTGCCTATGCAGCAAATATCTTATTCTGATTTTACAAGTTCTAAAAAATATAATTCTAGACATCAATTTATGTTCAATTATTAACGTCAATAATTTCCATTGGATCTAATTGTTTTCGAATTGCCATCTTTGCCATAAAAGAATAAAATATATGTCACCAAGAGCGAAGTATGCTAGGGAGGACAACGCTATTTGTAAAAATTACATCCGGCCCTAGTGTGCCCAAACGAGGCGCGTCATTGTTCTCAAACAATTTCCTAGTCTTTATACAAGATACGCAAGTCTTTTGCGAGAGAAAAAAATGTCACCAAGAAAACTCATATATATGTCACCGGTATGCATATGACTAAAATAGTGATTCATAGTGGCAGATAATAAGATCTAGATATTGGTCATTGGTCAAGAATAAAAACTACAACAAAAGGCTAGTGTTTCAATTTGATATGTGGAAAAGAAATTTCTTATAAATTGCCACAGACAAGGCAACAACAGTTGACATAGCCAAAGCTAGCTAATGTTTCAGTTAAGCACATGTTGGGCATATATGGAGGTGCGATAGAAGAAGAAAAGTCTAATGCAACTGGATAAAAATCATAGAGTCTCTATTTAGGTGTTATTTTTGAAATGAACAAATGTGGCGGAATAGCCATATATATGATTGTTGTGGCTTCTAGGTTTATTTAGGTGTTATTATTTTATAAGATTGCTAGTTTGTGCACATAAGCATGGATCGATAGACTAACATTCAGTAGTGTATAGCTAGTAGGCGAGCGCTAGCAGCGAGCTGTGCACACCATGCATACATAGCGATCGAGGCCGAGGCGGGCAGGCGGCGGCTAGTGAGAGTTCGAGATCGTAGAGTTGTCATTTAGCCTTTTCGGCTTTGAATGGTACTGATGAGTGGGCCGTCGAAATCGATGGTTGCCCGATCAAGCACCACACCACGAAGCTATGCCAAGCCCGCCAGCATGCATGCATATGCGTCTTTGATTGATTCCCTGGACTGGACTGATTAAATGAGTCAGCTGGCGAATTGAATTTGGCGATCGATCGATAATCTGGAAATCATTGTATATATGTCAACATACACCATCAAATCAAACGAGATATTTGCGAATCTATTGTTATCATACCATAATTAATTTGTTGTGCATGCATGCATTGCTAGTTGAGGACACAGAACACACACCGACCGACGCAGTATATTCTCACACATGCATATGATGGAAGCTAATTAAGCACACGATAATTTAGCTCAACTAGCTAGTTTAATTACTCGTCGTGGATTTCTTGGCTGTCGTAGCGCAGCTAGCGTGCTATGAATATACGGTGGTGGTTCTTTGCTAGCTGTGGCTAGATATATGGCGCTGCTAAGCTAGGTGCGTCATCCCCTTGCTATGCGCGCGTCGTCAATATATATATAAAGGCTTGCTGCTGGCTTAAGCTCCTTGGATACATATACATCGGCTTGTGCTTTCTTTATGCTGGCCGACCTTTCCGATTGGCATCAGAGAGACGACAGGAGAGGGTCGATCGATAGACGATGGGGGTGCATGGGGCTGTTGCCAAACCCAAACCCTGCAGCAGGCGGCTTTTCCTCTTCGTTGCTGTACTCGTCGTCCTCATAGGTAGCTACTGCGCCGCCGCCGCTGCAGTTGAGCAGATGAACAGCAATAATAGGGGCAGGCGCAGGAGGAGGAGCTGGAGCAGGAGGCGGGCCGCGGCGGCCGACGCGGTGACGCCCCTCATGGTGCCCATCACCATCCTCAAGTCCGCCGTCGACTCGGGAGCCGGTATGCACGCATATACATGCTTCTCCTTCTTCAATTCCTTCCCACTTCCTCAGTCATGCATAGACAGTACGTAGTAGTAGTATAACACTAGCTATACACGATCTGCTTAGAGGCCGTTGGATTGTTCATGTCTGTATATCACAATTGCGATCGATCTCCTTTTGTGGGGTCCCGGCGGCGGATTAATTTGTTCACGGTCTCACGGAACACCAGCAGCATGCACTAGATAGATAGAGAGGACCTCCAAGAGTATGTTAAATTTTTCTCTCAAAAAATCCATGTTTCCAACTCCTAAAAATGTATTGGGAGAAAAAAAGGCTATCTCTCCAATAATTCACAATTTTACATCAGAAATCCTATAATATATATTTCTAAATTATTTTAACTAATTTTATATATTCTTCCTCTCTCGTACATTTGCATCTAGAACCCTTTCATACACTTTATTCTTTTTTCGCTCTTCCACCTTTAATTGGCCGAAGAATACGTGTGTATCCGCGCGACCTCGACTCCGCGCAAAGTTACGCGTGATGGGAAAGGATTTTCCAGGTACCTAAATTTTAGGAGGAAGAATTAGAAGTTGTTGAAGATGGATTTTTTCTCGTCCTACCAAAAACCAAGGATCAGATGCTCTAGCTTTTGCTGCTGCTGTCCGTATATGCCGCATTCTTATGGATCCGTGATCGGTGATACGTCACTGGCATATGCATGCGATGCGCCGGCCGCCGGGCCGTGTGTGTGTCGCCATGCGCGCACGGTGCAGTGGGTGGATCGTCGGTCCCTGCCTGCATGCCATTTCGGTAGTGCGGTCGGCGCGTGGACGATATATGATACGGCCGGATCGCGCACGCGCGTGTGCTTCCAAAAAAGGCGTCATGCGTTGCACAGCTGGTACATATGTATCCGTAGTCACGAGCTAAACAAATACTGCAGCTACCGCTGCCTGCACTTGTCCGGCTGCTCCGATCGATCCATATAGCTTTCACGGGCGCTTATGTCCTCATCACTAGCTTGGTGAGCACTGAGCAGAACAACGTTGCCGCACCCTGCATCTAAACGAAATGCGAGCCTTGACCCGCAGAACCAGGCCCCGATGCCAGGAATGAAAGCCTATCTTAATCTGTGCACTTCTCCTACCTCAATTTGTCCACTTCTCTTCTCACAAAAAAAAATGTCCACTTCTCCTATATCTTACATTTTCTTTTATTATCGTACTATTCAGAGAACATGTAATTTTGTTATTATTTGATTATACAAAAAAATATGTACATGTGAGTTGTCTTTTTAATTATTGTATTAGATGATTGTATAATATTATTGTCTGAAAATTCCTAGATTTTCAGAAATATGGAATATGGAAATTCCCTAATTTATCCCTATCCGTTGGGCAAACTTGACTTGGTGCTAAAACAAGAGCCACCATAGAACACAAGCATCAGTGACGAAGCTAGGGGCTGGCCATGGGCCCATGCTCCATGAACATGCATATGTAATTGTTAGCCATGTATTAATCATGAAAAAAATGAGCCATATATTAGTCATGAAGAGTTAACTATAGATATGCTGTAAAGACTCATAGCCAGCAGCCTGTTGTATTATTAGCCTTCCTCTTAGCGAGGGTCATAGGCACATGCTCCATGAACATGCATATGTAAATGTTTTAGTTAATTAATAAAGTTTTTTGAGAATTGCACGGTACAACAAAGGCGCCCACAACACGCACGCACACTCATCCATATGAATACACATACGCAAACCCTACTCCTATGAGCACCTCCGAATGATTGAGCCGGCAGATCACGAGATTCATGAAGTAACCATAGGCGCCTTGCTGTCGACGGGGACATCGCTACCACTAAAAGCACAAGCGCCATTTAATCCTGGAATAAATCTAAAAAATACGAGCACCCGTGCCAAGTCGACGACTTAAACCCGGGTGGGCAAGTTCCACCACAAGGAACTCAACTAGCTGATGTATGGTCAGTTTGCGTTAATTAATAAAGTTAGTAGTAGAGAAAAGATGATTTAATTTGTCCTGGCCTCCTTTAACAAATAACTCTTACTAATTGGTCCCCTTCAAAAATATAATTCTACCTCCGTCCTTGACCAGCATATTTCAATAGCCAACATTTGTTTTTATCTTTGTCCTTTTTTTTGTCATCTTCAAACAAGCGCCATGTTGATGAGTAAGTAACAAGTAACGGTGTGTGCTATATATCTGTTGGTGCAGTGTGCATGGACGGAACGCCGCCTGCTTACCACCTGCACCCTGGCTCCGGGGCAGGGAACAATAGCTGGATCGTCAACCTGGAGGTCAGTCAAATTAAAGATCCATCAGTTAATTAACTCCAATTGTACGTTTTACTATGCACTAATTCGTGATGGATCGATGCCTGATTGCTCATCAGATGAACTGATATGATGATGGTCATAATAAACGCCACTGGCTGATATAATGTATATTGTGGTATAGGGAGGCGGTTGGTGCAACAACGTTCGGGCGTGCCAGTTCCGCAAGGGCAGCCGCCGCGGCTCGTCGGACCTCATGGAGAAGGAGATCCCCTTCGGCGGCATCATGAGCAGCAGCCCTCTCGACAACCCTGGTCCGTCCGTCGTCCCTTGCTCCGTCGTCGTCTTACCTTCAATTCAATCCCTCTCGATCTCACGTGCACACATCATTTACATACAGATTTCTACAACTGGAACCGGGTGAAGATCCGCTACTGCGACGGCGCGTCCTTCGCCGGCGAAGGCTACGACAAGGCACGTACAACGGATGCACCTTGCTTCCTTTCTGTTGCACCTTCCTTACTGATCTGGTCAAACGAAATGATATCGATTGACCTGACATGACACTGCTGCAGGAGAACGGGTTTTACTTCCGCGGGCAGCGCATCTGGGACGCCACCGTCCGGCACCTCCTCTCCATCGGGATGGCCTCCGCAGACCAGGTGCTGCTCACCGGCTGCTCCGCCGGCGGCCTGGCCGTCATACTGCACTGCGACCAGTTCCAGGCCTTCTTCCCTCGGTCGCCCAACGCCGGCGGCGGCACCACCACCGTCAAGTGCCTCGCCGACGCCGGACTCTTCCTCGACGCGTACGTGCCGCCGCAGTGCCACCTTACCAATTAACGAACCTTTTATTTACAGAAATTGTTGCTCCATCTGGTGCTTCGTTCATGCATCTTGACTTGAGCCGTGCATGCATTCAGCTCTGATGTCTCCGGCGGGCGCAGCCTTCGGTCCTACTACTCCGACATCGTGGCCATGCAGGGCGTGGCTCCCAACCTGCCGCCGGCCTGCACTGACCGTTTGGACATCACCTCGGTGCGTCGCGTTGTTCCTCCGGCCTTGTTCCTTGCAGTTCCAGTAGCAAAATGCATGCATGCTCCTTGTACGTGTTGACAGAATGGAACTGAACCACCGCTCGCGCTCGTGCATGGCAATGGCAAATGCAGTGCTTCTTCCCCCAGAACGTAATCGATGGCATCAACACCCCCATCTTCCTGCTGAACGCAGCATACGACGCCTGGCAGGTAACTAGTACTCCTAACTGATTTGCCAGCTTTCATATGTTGTATATTTGTAATCGAGCTATCAATGGACGATCAGATACAGGAGAGCCTGGCACCTAGCGGAGCTGACCCCAGCGGAGCCTGGCGAGCCTGCAAGTCCAACCACTCTGCCTGCGACGCATCCCAGATGAAATTCCTGCAAGGTTATTTCGGTTACACATTCATAACCCAATGCAAGGCCCTGAGGGAGGGCCAAACATCATATGTTCTCAAGGTTTATTTCTAAGTACACTGGATCGATCAAGTGCAGATTTCAGAGACCAGATGGTAGCATCCGTGAACGGCTTCGCCGGCTCCAGGAGCAACGGGCTCTTCATCAACTCCTGCTTCGCGCACTGCCAGTCCGAGCTGCCGGCGACCTGGAGCGACGCCGCAGGTGGTGCCTCCCCGGCCATTCAAAGCAGGGTAACCACGACACCACACCACCCACCGGTGATGCCATACAGCATATATATATATATATACATACGTATAAAAACAAAAGTTTGAGCCTGCTGTTTGCGTGTGCAGGGGATTGCCAAGTCAGTGGGCGACTGGTACTTCGGTCGAGCTCAAGTGAAGGCGATCGACTGCCCCTACCCCTGCGACGGAACATGCCGCAACATCATATGATGACAAAACATCCTGGGCTACCTTGCGGTTTTGTCCTCAAAAGTTGGCCCCGTTGGCTTCCCTAAAAAGGCATGGTTAAAAGTTGCGAGAGAAAAACAATGTTCGTTTCGCTAAAATAATATGGCTTATAAGACAAATAAATAGAGCCGTTGTACATCACATCAATTCAATTTGTGAACACAAGAGAAAGCAAATGGGTGCAACCATTATTAAAATTAAATGAACGATAATAATACAAGAAAGTGTCAAATATGAACTGAATGTTCTTAGATAACAGTTAAACTTGCATTGTTAAGTGATTCATTTGTACAAACAGCCTGATCGCTTGTTGGTTTTAGTCAGGGCTTATTAGCCATGATACAGTGTTTTTCTCTCACAACAAACCAGCATCAGCCAGCTTATCAAGAAACCAACCAGCGAACAGGCTGAGAGAAAGCAGATGAGCGCGTGTGTGCTGTTTGTCTCGCATCCTCCGAGTTTACCACGATTTGATTATCACTACTACAATAAGCATTTGTAGGGGTGGCTGGCGATGGTTTGTAGAGGCGGCTCGGCCAGCCGCCCCTACCATATCGTATCTATAAATCATGCATTTGTAGGGGTGGTTCTCAGACCGTCCCTACAAATCGATTTATAGAGGCGGTTGGTATCCTCTAGGGATTGAGATTCTTATACCACCTTTTTTTTACCATTCTTATTCATCTTTTTTCCCGTGGAGGCTTCATCCCCACCGTAAAGGTCATTGTTCTTGTACCGGCTGGCCTCACACCGGGGACATTTATCCAATGACTTGAATGTTTCACCACGAAAAAGGATATAGTGGTTGGGGCATGCATGGATTTTTTCAACCCCCATTGTCAATGGACTTATGACCTTCTTCGCTTGGTATGTGTTGGTGGGAACTGAGTTTGGTTGTGGCAGCACCCATGACAGGAGACGCAATAGATCATTGAAACTATAGTCTAACCAGCCGTACTTAGCCTTTAGGATGAGTAGCTCAAGCACAAAACGTAGCAATATCCAATGTGTTGGGCAGCCCTTTTCAACACCATACACAGTCTCCTTCGATGCTTTTGTCACCCTTTCCAAATTTTTTAGACCTTTCGGGCTCTTTAGTAAAATCTCGGTCCAAGGACTCGAATCATGTCCTCCAAATCATCTTCATCCCCGACACATGCTCCGCCATCATTTTTGACACCACCTTCGTCGTTACCATCCCAACCACTAGCATCACCACATTGTTCATTGCCAAACTCGGGATCCATTCGTGCATCAAGCTCTACTGAATATTGGGACAGGGATTCTAGGGTTTCGTCATCGTATTCCTCCTCATCCTCGTTGTTAACAATAACCGTTTCACCATGATGAATCCACAGTGTGTAGTCCTCAACAAATTCTTACATAATCAAATGCGATTTGATGATAGTCACATCTGTCCATGCCATACGATTCTTACAATCTTTACAGGGACAAATAATTGTATCCTTATTCTCTGTCAACGTCGTTGCATGCTTTTCTGTGGCTTCAATAAATTTATCCACATCTTCACAGAAACCTGCGTTGAACCTTAACGAACCATACATCCAAGAGTTCCTGTACTCCATCTTTTACAACAACAACAAAAAACATTAAAGGACTACTTATTCAGATATATATAAAAATAAATCAAATTAATAATTACTTGAGAATAATTGTATATACTTCAGATATATATGAATATAAATCAAATATAATTACATGAAGCATACAAACATACCATGGTAGAGAAAAATTAATTAATGGCCTATTTATCCATAAATAATTAAAATACATATTTGTTGATTACAATAAACAATTTCAAAGACAATAATTAGCAACAATTAATATTTTACCTAATATCTTTCATGCAAACCCTAATCTAATTTCATCAAACATAAATTTACAAAAATGAAATTAATAAAAAACCAAACCCTAGATCTAGATCTAGATCTACATCTACATGCACATGAAATATTTATAAAACTAACTAATTGTTCACTAAAATCAAGAAACATGGACCAAATAAGGGTATGATCTTGTTCCCCTATCTAATTTACCCTAGTACATTCAAAACTTGGGTCTAATTTGCTTCATAAGTAGCTCAAGCACCATAGAAGAGAGAGAAAGCAAAACTCTAATTACTCACTAACCAACAATTAAAACTTCTAAAAAAAGTGTAGAATAGCATTTTTTTACCTTCTATAACCTCTCCACCAAACGATTTGAGACCAAAATCTTCCCCCCTTAGTACAACAATTTTTAGGAGGTGCCCAAGGCCTCCCTACTTTTTTTTCACGGGTTGGAGTGAGTGACCCGAGAAAGAAGAAGGGGCTGCAGGTTTTTATACGTGGGGCATTTGTAGGGGCCGCTGGTGATACGAACCGCCCCTATAAATCACAACACCAGCCGCCCTACTGTGCCATTTGTAGGGGCGGCTGGTGATTGAGCCGCCCCTACAAATTGCAACACCGGGGACGGCTGGTGAATGAGCCGCCCCTACGAATCGACTCATTTGTAGGGGCAGCTCATATCACCAGCCACCCTTATTGTGCCATTTGTAGGGGCGGCTGGTCTCGTGGGTCCCGAGCACTCCCACTGTAGGGCGTGGCTCTATCCCCAGCCGCCCCTACAAAAAAATTTGAGCCATTGCTACAAACCTTTTCTATAGTAGTGTATTCATTGCAAATTCCGGTTAAGGTAACGTGTTGGATGAGTGTGTGTACTGTTTATAACGGAACGCGACATCGGATAAACCAGCCAACGGTAGCGTGTATTGTGCAACACTAAGTTCCCGATGACTTCTCCGATGCACCACTAGAGAGTTTCGGTGCGTGTTAGATCACTGTATGTACGAAAAAACATCCTCACTGTACTGACCTCCAGTGCATCTCTCTGGTGCCACACCGGAAAGTTCTAGTGTGCATTGATAGCACTAGTAGATAAACGACTTTCGGTTCGCATCTTTAGTCTCAATTATATTAGGGTTCGGGACTAATATGAGCATTAGTCCCGGTTCTAAATTTTACAGGCACCAAAAATCCTTTTATCCCAGTTAGTAACATCAACATAGACTAAAAGCCACCCTTTAGTCCCGGTTGGTGTTACCAACCCGGACTAAAGGTCCTCCAACTTTTAGTCCCGGTTGGTACTGACCCTTTAGTTCCGGTTAATGTTACCAACCCGGACTAAAGGTCTCACACCCGGGACCAAAGGTCCTCCACGATTGAATTCAAAAGGAGAGCGCCTAGGACTTTGTCATATGTGGTGTGCAATTGAGTTGGTAAGTAAGCTACACCCGAAGCAATGGGTCTTAGGTTCGAATCTCATGCACCGCAAGAGAGGTCTCCTAGGATATAAACTATTTTTTTAGTTCTGAGGATGGGCTTTAGTCCCGGTTGCGTGACCCAGGGTCCTGACCTTTAGTCCTGGATCTACAATCCCGGTTGGAAAATCAGGACTAAAGCTAGTTCCTAACTGGGATTGAAACCCACCGGTGTACTAGTGTAGGTTAGGGTTAGCTCTTGTGCATTGTACTAAACTTCCGGTGAGCCAATAGAGAATTTCAGTGCGTGTAAGATCGTGCACAAAAACATCATCTCTGGAGTGAAATTTTGGTGCATCTCTCCGGTGCACTATTGGGGAGTACCAGTAACCCTTTTTGAGGTATGCTATGTACGTGCACTGTTCCCAAACTCCGATGCACCTCTCTGAAAGTCTGGGTTAAAGGTTCAAACACATGCAGCATAGGTCAGGCACTGTTGGGTAACTCTGACGGTGCACCACCGAAGAGTTCCTATGACCTTAAAAATAGCGCAAACAACATACTTTTCAACCCTTTTTAAAACATGCTAATTCTGTATGATCTCCCATGGGATGATTAATACCTTTAAGCCTTAGTTAGCATGCATTTTTTAAAAATATTTTTCAAAGGTTTGTCACGTGATTTCCAAAACACAACTTGAATTTATATACAATGCAAAGATTGACCTCACAAGTAGCACTAGATAACTGTAAAGCAATCAAATTTCATCTCTTAATAGTATGACTATCTATCTATCTATCTATTTGGTCATATTTCATCCTCTAATCATCTCATGGTCGATAAAACACAAACCCTATGTTATACCTTTGCCTTGAGCCCTTCACAATCGATCCATACCATCTTTCTTCATGATATCCATGTTAGCTCAAGCACCCATGTGGATCAAATCATTTAACCCTTCATATCTTCATATGAAATGTTATTCCATTAATATTGTCATTAATTACCGAAACCCAAATACGGCAACACAAATCTCTAGAGGTTTAGTAGATGTGGCGGAGGTTGAAATCTGCCAATGTTCTGCAAAAATGTGTTGAGGTTCACATCTTGGAAGGTTCCGCAAAAATAATGCGCAGAGGTTCTGTACTAATAGAACTCAGCCTCCTGAACCAAGAAAGAAAAATCCAAAACTCAATCAAACAGGATACAAAAATCATGGAATTTTATACACACCTTCCTAACCCACGGTTAAGGTAACCCCATTCTTCAAGGATCAAAGCTTGGCCGAGAATTTTGAAAATCCTCTTTGTTGACGCTTAATTAGGTCAAACACTTGATAAGGAGCTAGATTGCTCGATGTAGGGCCTAGCCGATTTTGGGATCAGTCGGCGGCTAGGGGATGTCCACACCTAGACCTTATGCCTCCAGCGATGAGCGCGATACACAAGACACGTCGCCAGAGGAGCCTCGAAGGGAGCGCGATACGCAAGACACGTCGGCAGGGTCTCTTGAGACCCAAAACCCCACACGTCCGGGAGGGACTCCGTCGGGGCGTGTGGCGGCTATGGGCTGCTCTAGCCGGCCTAGCCATGCTAGAGCTTCACCACCGTCGATCCACCGTCCATGCAGCGCCAACGAAGAACGAGGAGAAGTAGAGGGTAAAAGAGAGGTAGTAGATTGATTTGTTGTGTTTTTGTGTCGATTGGATAAATGTGAACTC